AAAAACTGCAGCCCCTTCAGTTCGGATATCAGAAAGCTGTGGGGGTTGTGGGTTTCAGACAAGCAAATACTTTTGTAGGATTTTAATGTGCTTACAGTGTCTTTTAAATTATTCTGACATTTTGATGGTTTGTAGGAGAATCAGTCAGTCCTGGTGTGAATTGGTGAATGTTTATCAGGGAACCAGTTTCATTAGTGTCACACACTCATGTCAATTATACCCCAAGACAAGAGCTGGTGAAAATTGTGGAGCTGATCAGATCAGACTATAGAAACTTTGTTCATGCAACCTGGGCAGGCCTCAAACAGGAAGACTCACTTTCACCTTGAGTTCACCCTCCCCCACAAACCCTTACATATGTTTATTGTGTACACAAGCTGACAAAAGGCAGCAGTTGTCTAGGCGTGGTCGCTGTCAGACACCAGGCTGTATCATTAGCAAAATGGTAGGCTCATCTCACCGGCTGCTCCACAAACCCTCCGTATGTGATTCCAGCCCGATGGTTACTTTCACATTAGCTCCATCATATAAACACAGGAAATGAGTATTGTAGCTGTGCAAATTATGACCAATTTTGGGTCAGGACAAATATACAATAACAGCATGGTTCCCAGCAATTATTAGAACTTGTCTCGTCATGTTTGGAGCAGCAGACAGGTAGGATTCACCATTATGAGTATGACTGTTAGAGTTAAAACAGTGCACAGCAGAAGCACATTTGACCACAGACAGACGGAATCCCCTCTGAGTAGAGGTTGTAGATAACAAACCCTTCATAGTCAATCAATGATCAAACTAGGATCACTATAAACTGCAATCAAACAAAAAGGCCAACGCTATTTTTACCTTTGTTGCTCCAACTTCCCAAAAATTTTATAAAAATTTAAATATTCCTATGCTCCTTTTGCTGGGGACCCCCTACAACTGACAATAACCCCTGTTGATCCCTTAACCCAGTTTTAAAACCACTGAACTATTGAGTATTTGAGGCAGCAGGGCGGTGTATGACGGATTGAGTCAACAACTACTGTGTGTGTTCATGGTAATAAAAGAACATGTCACCTAGTACAATAGTGATCATCAGTGAACACTGATGTGTTTTTCATAGTTTTTGGACAACTATGGAGCACTATGGCACACAGGAAGAAGATATATCAGGCTTTGATACACAAACAAAACTTGTTGGTAGGATACATTCATGATGGTTCGGGAGCAGGGCCATGCCTCAACCACACATCTAATCACCTGTCAAGTCTACTTATACCTGGTCAACCCAGCCTATACTGTTTGCTTCCAACCCCCATCCTCTACATATTTGCATCCATCTACTCTTTCTTCCATCATTTCATCCTTTCTTATTCAATTCTGTGCATACCTCTTTCATCTCTCTCTCTTTTTTCCTGGTATCGTCTGGGGTCCATAACAGGCTCGGGTGACTCTACTACCGAATCAGATCTTCATTACTGAGTCTCTTCCTCCCTGGCCATAAATACATCTATCCCAGACTGGCGCGAACGGACAACTTCCTCCCCCACTCTGGTGTTCCCCATTGATTTGGCAGTGTCTTTTTAAAATAATTTGATATTGTTAGTGGTGGTTAGAGTTCATATTAAGCTACTGGTCACTGGTGTGAGTGGCTTTCCCGTACACTGTGGTCTTAACACAAATGTCTCGACACACCATCCTCTTCCTGTTCACATGTTCTACACTGGAGCAGTGCAATTTGGTCACCCCTAAACCAGTACCAAATTGCTCAAAATATTACACTTAGCTACCGTCAAACAACTGATTGTGAGCAGGAGGTCAGGTGAATTTTTTCCTTTATGATGGAGTTACATAGAGCTGGACAAACATCAGCGATTTGACTCCTCTTGTCCTTGTGGTGATATTTAAAGGTTAAACCCCCATGTGCGTAATCCTGACCAATCACACCTACACATACATGTTTACATTCAAACAAATGTACACAGCTCAAGACACCCAGATGGCAGCACATTGCTGAGCGATTTCACACATGCATGCATGAACACACACATTACACACAGCTCACATAGCCAGGCAAGAATGTGAAGTTGAAGCCTGTACGGTCAGCGTGTGTGTGTACTGCGTAGGTAGGGGGCAGGTTGGTTATGTGCGGTTTTTGTAATTTTTTTTTTCAAACTTTTTTTCAAAATTAATTTAGACGATCGGTAAAAGGTTCACAAAAATATTGTTAAGAGTGACATCGGTGGTCATTAAGTGAACTGCAGTCAGCATCCTGTTGACTGGCACTCCATACACAGTCAGTAGACGTGAGCATCATCTGACTGAATGGAAAATACATTTAGAATAACAACTATCTGCAGTGTTCCTATATTTTATTTGGAACATTGGCTCCATGCTACTAATTAGCTCACCATTTGCAGATCACTCCATCAGCCAACCCTCACTGCCCAGTCAAACCACAGCCAGCCAGCCAGCCAACCCCAGATTACCTAGGCTACTTTGCTGATTAGAATGCCCCTGCCTTGCATTGCTCTTGCCTAGTAGGAAGCAACTGCTTTGTACCGTTACATCATTTATTTTCAAATTTTTTGAAAAAAGTGGATTCGCAATTCGAGCCGCATCACTACATAGAAACACATATAAATCAGTCCACAGGCAACTGAGAAAGTCGGGGAAGTTCTAAATTTTTACATTATATTACAACAACAAAACAATATTTCAGAATCTTACATATGGAATCTTTAAGAGGTACAGCCATTTAGTATATACTATAGTATTATGCAGTATAAATAAAAAGGCCTCTTATTTCAAGCTCAGGTAGAAAATTGGGACATTGTGTGGCCCCTGGCACTGGCACCGGCAGCAAGATGCCCTTGGAAAAGGCTTTAGAGAGGGGTTATGGGATGTAGAAAGCAGGATATATATACAGGTTTCAACTATGTATATACTTGGCAATGCTGTGTAACTAGAGCTTATTATCCCTGTGGTGTCAGGGGGTGGCTGTGAGGAGGGGTCCACTGCACACAACAACACAGGACACCCACCAAGTTAAACTGGGAGCGATACAAGTGTGAACCACACAAGCTAAATGAACTCTATTCTGTTAGTGAAGGGGATAAAATGATTGCATTGTTTGTGCCATAATGAGTGTTTTAGAGCAACCAACTTCATTTAGAATTGCAGGTTGGTGCACTGTAATCTGGCATTCTGCTGTGCCTCATTGTAATTGTTGGCATGAAGTGACTTACACTGAACAGTCATGCTAAATTACAAGTCTTTTAGCTACAAGGGAACATCCATTAGACCTTTTAATTAATTTATAGTTGCTTTCCCCTGTTCTGTCAAGTCAAAAAAGAGTATGTTAGGCCTTTGTTTTACCAACAGTGGCATAGGCAAGTGGTAAAGTAGTCTCTCCCACACCCTACTCTATGCTAAAGTTTGTAAGATAAGGACTAATCTAGACTGAAGTTCAAAACTCAACATCCAGCTTCTACTGGTATGGCAGTCCACTTGTTTTTTGAGTTGTTAAAAACAATTCACTTCTGGGGGACTCTTACACCGACAGACACCAGTATCACAGGAAGAATCTTATACAGAGCTTATAGTCTGTGGCACTTTACAAACCCATTAGATTGAAATGTTTCCTGGAATATCTCAGGCTGGTGTCATTGTACTTATCTGTACTCACTTTTAGTGAAAAGAGGCTGATGGATCATTTGAATAGGGGTGCTGTTGGGAGAGAGGTGATGAGGGTAGGGGTGGGGCTTGAGCGATTCTGGGAGCCCAAAACTGGATAAATATTTACTGTGTGAGAGCTGTTGGGCTTCAGGGCCCAAAATTTCAAGCATCAGGTCGCAGACCCGTATTTGATAAGATGTGGTCTCAGGGGTCTCCATCTGATAAGATATAGGTATTCCATAACTGTATACACTGTAGATTGGTATACTTACAGTAGAGAGTGTGAAAACTATAAAATAGAATAGTCAATAGTCATTCTTACACATTCTCTCACTAGGTTAACTTTTAGCCAATGTGAAATTTATGTCCCATTTTTCCCCAGGTTGAGAACCACTATCTTTCGTATGCACATAAGTGTGTATATCTTGATGTGAGGGCGTACATACACAGTGTTCAAAGAACAGAAGAACCAGGGGGAAAAGAGCCATTTACATCAGACGTTGCAGGAATAAAGCTGGCTTTCTGGTATTTTTCTTGAAATTGTAGGAGCAATGGAATGGAATGGAAATACGTTTCACTATTTTTATGTGTATGATTAGGCCTATATGTGACAATTAAAGGACCAGTGTGAACGATTTTGTGGCATCTAGCGGTGTAGTTGCACAGTGAAAATCCCTCACGTCACACTCCCCTTCTGGAAGATACTGTAGTGGCTGAAAAACGTGTGAAAAACTGCAGCGCCCCATCTAATGCTAGTGTTTGTTTGATTTGTCCCTTCTGGAATACTGTAGAAACCTGGTGGTTTAACATGGCGGACCTGTGGTGTCAGTAGATAAAGGCACATTCTAAGGTAACACTAATGCAAACATACCTAGGAATATTATATTAAATTTCTGCAAATAGATCCCCCTAAATGTTACATACTGGACCTTTAAACCTGAGCTTTACATCGATTGATATATATTCATTGTACTTCAGGGTCGTCTGTTGTGTGCCTTTTTACAATACCCCACCCTTTGTGTATGTATACATGTATGCATAGGCCTATGTATACAAACACCTGTGTGTACATGCACTATGTTAAGCTATATGTAGGCTGTAGCAAAATACCTGAAGAAGATAAATCATTTTCTACCTGCACAGACACATCTGCATTAAGCTCAACCAGGACATGCTACAGTGCTGAATGTCTGCATCTATAGGCTCTCTGTCCGTCTTCTGGACGTCACAGTTACGCACGGCTTGTCCGCTCCCTAATTGGCCGGCGGTGCTCCGCCCTCCTACTAGGTAACTTGTTGAGAGTTTCGGGCGGAGTCGAGGAGGAACGGTTTATATTGGGGAGCCTTCCAGTAGACAGAGCTGGGTTCCTCTGCGACGGGTTGGGACTTGGTAAGCACACGGAGGGAGTCCGCTGAAGAACGAGTAACGGAACACCTTACGGGGAATAAAGCAAAATGCCTTCAGACAAAGATGATGGTGGATGGAAGAAGTTTCTATGGGACTCCGAGAAAGGAGAGGTGCTGGGTCGTACCGGAGGCAGTTGGCGTGAGTATTTGTGCAGAACGGACCGGGTGTTCGTGGTGAATTGGTAAGCGCGCGCTCACGGTTGTAGGAGATGGGAGCGCGCGCCGGTCGCCTCGTGTTTCTTTCCACCTGTTTGATTTGACTTTGCTGCATTCAGTAACAAACCGGCAACACCAGACAATAATGCGTCATTGTAACTAATACATCTACTAATTTCCACTTGTAATGTCCCAACTTTGACCTGGAAAACTAATAGTCCAGAAAAGCCCCAAACATGCTGGTTTTAGTTTTATTAAACAGCTTCGCGATGTTTAAGTCAGGGTTATGATATGTGTGATTTTGCCAGTTGGAGTAGCGGAATTCAGGTTGTACATTCAGAGAGCGTACACGCTGCGGAGCGGCGCAGACGATGCAAAGCTCGCTATTGATTGGACCTGAGTCTTGTCCACATTGGCTTGTTGTTAGGGAAACGTCAAGTTTGTCTTTTAGCAGTTTTGGGATCGGCAATCAAAGGGTTAAAAATGCATCATGGTCCAAGGTGAGTCAAGGTGATAGGGCCTGCTCAGAAATGGAGAGAGAGGACTATCGATCCGTGTCGGGTTCCTCTGATCAGATGTCACTGTAATCTAACGAACAATACAACTGATAAAGTTGTTCGACCTTTCTTCTCCTATTTCTCTAGTGGCAGCAGTGCGCATGTCCTTGTTCCTCCTCTCAATGTCACACAGCTCCTCAGTCCTGTCTGGACTCTAACACCTGGGTGAAAGCAGTGTGTCAGTGACATGATGTCTGCTTCGCTTAGATCAGAGCTCAGCCCGACTGCTGCAGCAGCTCCACCTGAGTGGAGCTGCTGTGTGGCGCTTAGGGGCTCATGTTTGTCCTTCTGAGGTCATCCGAAAATGCTGATGCATTTAGGAAGTATGCCATGCGCAGTGCTGTGTTGAAGGTTGTGATGAAAGGACATCCGGGCTGATATGGGACCACCTTAACAACTTTAAGTTTGAAGCACAGAATATCAAATATGTTTTTACTCATGTCTTTAGGCAGAATACCGTGAGTGGAATGTAAATTGTCTTCAGGCTGTGTCTCCTGTAGATAAGGTGAAGTAGATGTCTTTACAATGCCCAGAGGACACAAGCTTTGATTGTATGTCCTTGCGTTTATAAGTGATGTGTCATGTATTAACTGCTTCATGCCATTGTGACCTTTTGACATTGTCTGCCTGCAGCAAAAGGTCTGACTGGGTGAATGTATAGCTCGCTCAGCTGCCAGGTTAATTTAAGCAATGCTTTATTCGTTGCTTCGCAGCATAGATAATAGAATTGTGACGCTTTTACTGTAATTCTACAGCCTCTTCATGGTAAAAATGTTTTAGCCAACAGTTCTTTAAGTAATTACTACCTTGTATGTACAGGCTTCACAGTTGAATTCCTGTAAATCTTTGAAGACAATGACCGCCCTGTTGGATTGTTTTATTATGAATGCTGGCTTTGTAGTTCTTTACATCCATAGTGGAGACACAAGCTCTGTTAGCATGGTGGTGTCTGACAGATGTCCTTGAAGCTAGAGCTGCTCGATGAATGACTACTTCATGTTGAAGAGATTTAAACTAACATGGATGACTTAGAATTGTTGAACTGTATGAGGTATCAAAACTGTAAAGCCTTTGCTCCGATAAAATGCTAATGAGTTAAATATAATTTGTCGTATGTCACATCCTAAAAAAAATAATAATTAGTGAAAGTTCAGTGCACAAAAATTGCTTACATAAGTAATTACCCCCTACAAATGTTAGTATTCAGTAGGGGCCTCTCAGTAGGCTGCAGTTATAACCTTGAGTCTGTATCAGCTTTGCACGTCTATTCCATTTACTGCATTTTTTCCCCCTCCTTACACAGCTAGTCGAGCTCTGTCTTCAGGTTACATTTAGGCTGTGAATGAATGGATCGCAATTTCCTGCTACAATACAGTATTAAATTTAGGTCTGGACCCTGGTCACTCCTCGAGTTAACTTTGTAGCTGTTTCTGTGTAGCTTTATGTTTGCCAATGTTATCCTGCAGACTGCTGGAGGTTCTTCTATGTATTCCTCTACCTTCACCAGCCCTCATGTCCCCACACTATGTTGTCACCACCAGCAGGTTTAATGCTGGGGATGGTGTGTCTCCCCTCATGTGTGGTGTTTAGCATAAACCAATCCTAGTTCGAGCCAAATGGGCAAAAAGCTCTGTTGAATTATTTATGGTCTCATGAGACCATTAAACCCTCTGCCACTGCATGCCTTCTGGCTGAGATGTTGTAAGGCTTTTCTTTTCAGCAGTAGCTTTCTCTTTGCCAGTCAGCTGTACAGCGGTGGTGTGTGTGGGTGGGGTTGTGTTCCACCTCAGCCATGCAGCTGCTCAACAAGTTGGATGCATACACCTGGGGGACCTCCTCACTAGTGCTCTCCACACACAGGAGGATGTCTAGTCTAACTACAGTTTATTTGTGTATATAGAATCGCTGTCACACCTTAATCACACACAGTGGTGACTACACTAAAGGGGCTGTATATTGAGGTAATTATAGGCAGCCACTAATTTGTTTTATATTTGTTTTCACATAAAAACGGTGTGTTCATTGTAAAACAGCAGAAACAATAAAACATAATAGTTAGTCCAAGCTGTCAGTTTTCTCAGTGTTGCTCAATAGTAATGTAGGTCTATTACAGAATGCATACCTCAGTCTTTGTTCTTTTGATCCATGTAGTGTAAACTTTAGAGATTGTGGCTGGAGTTAGCCCCTGTTATAAACTTAGAGCTTATTGTCTTTTTAGTGGAATGCTATCTGATGGTATCATTACTGTTAAATAATGTATTAATTCCATGCTAACTGAAAAAAAATAAAAATGAACAAAATGAGTTAGAAATCTTTTAATTTACATTTTACACAAAAGTTTTGTATTGTGGCAATTCAAAATAAATCAGAAAAATAATATACGACTGTACGTTAGCGAGATGGATAGCTTTTTCAAGTCAAACCATGTGAGGATATTCATGATGATGGTAATTCACCATGATAAACTTATTAGTGTTTCTATTGTGATGATGTATATTGTCCCAACCCTAATCTAGTCATTGCAGTGAACATCACACTGATTATTTTATGTGCTTTTTTGCATACAATTTACTATTATACTTTTTTAATTTCCTTGATGAGGACATGCATGGCAGTATAAAACCTTGCTGTTTGACCTTCTGTACTGACTCTTTCTTTCTTTTTTTCTCCTCCACAGTGAAAATTCTGCTGTTTTACACAGTTTTCTATGGCTGTCTGGCGGGGGTCTTCATCGGAACCATCCAAGCCTTGCTGCTCACCCTGAGCGACTACAAGCCCACCTGGCAAGACAGAGTCGCACCCCCTGGTAAGAAGTGACACCTCCTTCCTGTCTGTCAGGATTCCAGCTTGCAGATCTGCCTCTGAGCCTAAAGGTCGTCTTTAGACACTCAGGAAGAAAAAACAGAATATACCCACTGCTCAGTACCAGGCAAATGAATAAAGTAGCAAATAGGGTTATGTTTAGTAGAGGATCTTGTCACAATAATTCCTAAATTTTAAAATTGCAGCTAAACCTTCCTGAATGGGTCTATGAGATGAGTTTGAACTATGCTGATTCATCAGAGGCTGCCATCTCAGTGGCTTTGTTGACATGACAAAATTGTTTTGTATGACAAATGCATGTGTAAGACCTTGTGGTCAAGAGACTGGGTGAAGTGAGTATTATGTATGATGCTGAGTTACAAACAAGGTTAGATATAATGTCATATCTGTATTTGGAGACAAATATCATACATTAATGATATCATTTATTTTGCCAGCCCACCTAAATAGAGTTGCCCTTACCCAAAAAATAATTGTACATATATCTTTGTAAGTCTTTTATGACTAAGTCTGCTTGAATGATGCATTCATGTAAAGTTGTATTGATTCTTTATTCATTCCTATATCTCTTCTGTTGTTGGCTCGTGAAAGGTTATGAGCAGGAGGCTGGAGTTATCTTATTTAACATGTTAGATCTAAAGACTGGCTATTGGAAATAATACAAATTCATCATTACTTGGGGTATAAGGAAATATCAATACACTTCATAATTTTACGAGTATCAAAATATTTTATTTTGATGCTATTGTATCGATTTTTGTGTTTAAACCCCCAACTCCTAGGTAGCAGCGTATTATGCATTGTGTTCTTTATACTATGACCTTCCTGAAATTTGATTTTAAAAAGGGAAACCTGTCGTTGCATATTATATGGCAATATATTGACTCATACCCCTGTATCATGATACATATGGTATTGCAAATACACAGCCCTAATGAACACATTGTTTATCATACTTTTTACTGACAAACTACAAGGTGACTGTACAGTCAATAACTCTTTAAGACTTATTTTAAGATTTCTTAAACTACATAAACAAACATGGTTCTTCAAATCTAATAACTGCAGTAGTGAAAGTTTTCAGCCTTGGTGGCTAATTTCTTTCTAAAAGTCAACATATGTGCTCACCCTGGCCACAGGTAACTTGGCTGCAAACTGTTTTGGAAATGAACTCTCCATATATCTTCACGTCATGGTCCCAGTGCAGTGCCTGCACCGACTGCAAGCCTCCCCTGTGTATGCACAGCAGCCTTGTTTCCATGGCAGAAAGGGCCAGCTGGGGTTTATCAGGTCAAACTGAGCATGTGCAGAATACAGTCAAATGAGCAAGTGTTGAGTGGACGGGATGAAGGTAAACCAGGAGAGGTTAAACAGGATGCTCATCAGTGAGCGTTGTGTTCATTTGAGGCCATACAAACACAGCTGTGTTACAGGGAAATCTACTGTCAATGACCCGATCTCTGCTCAGCTGATTAGAATTGACAGTGTTCTAAACATGCATTAATGGATTACGTTAAAACCACACAGATTAGGAGTTGAGCCCCATTATTGTGTGATGTTACTGAGATAAAAGGCCACTCATTTGAGTCACATGAGCTCTATCCGCTTCCTGAACAGAAACACTGCAGGCCCGGACCATATTTAGCCGATTCAGCTCCTGTTAGCAGAAAGACTGTAAATAAGGGGAAACAGTATCTGTGTCCTGGATGCACAGACATGACATTGATATTGATCATCTCATCTGAATCTGCAGAAGTTGGCAAAAACTTACATTTTCTCACAGTCAGTGTTTTACATGTTTCATGTTAACTCTGAAAATTAGAAATTGGAGTTTAGATGTCTCAGGGTTTTATACCTTATCTGCTCTAATTCAAGATATGAGGTTTCTATTGACTTTTTATTCATTTATTATCTGGGATCAGGACACACTCGTGTAATATGGTATTAGTTGATGACAAACGGCTGATCTGTCGTCCCCACAGGCCTTACCCACACCCCACGATCAGACAAAGCTGAAGTGGCCTTCAACCTCAATGACGTGGAGACTTACCTACCTTACACCAAGGCCTTGAAGGACTTCCTGGCCAAGTATGACGAAGAAATGCAGAGGGACCAGATGAAGTTTGAGGACTGCGGAGGTAGGCTTTACTCATGACATCTCATTGGCTTATCCTGCTTCTCTTTTGAAAGTTAATTCCAGAGAATAGAGCAGCTTCATCTCTTCACTGGGGCTTTGTGGTGACACATGGTCGTGTGTACAATACAGTGTGAATCTTCAAATCCAAGTGGTTTCATAAACATGCAGATATTCTAGATGACCTAGACCCCTTCCTCAAAACTCCTGACAATAAGGCTAAAGATTTCTGGCTAATCTAAACTTGAGAGAGGACAGAATGTAATGTTGTATTGTCAAGTACATGAATGTTGGCCCTGACCCAAGTTAACCCTTCACTCCCCCCTCCAGAGGATCCTGCAGACTACAAGAACCGGGGTGACTTGGAGAGCGAAGTGGGCATCAGGAAGGCCTGTCGTTTCCAGAGGTCGCTGCTGGGACCCTGCTCCGGCATCGAGGACCGCGATTTTGGTTTCAAGGATGGCAAGCCCTGCCTGATTGTAAAGCTCAACAGGATCGTCAACTTCCGTCCAAGGGTAATTTTAAGTCTGTGTCATGTTTTCTTGAAGACAAATAAGTCCAAATTTGTAAAATTGTAAATTATTTGAATCAGAATCAGAAATACTTTAATAATCCCAGGGGGAAATTATTTAAATAATTGTTGCTATAGTTTGGCATAAGACTGAAAATGTAATTTGGCTGTTATTGGTTCACCATTAGTGGTGCTGGTTAAACTGTATGTCATTAATAATGCCAGACTGAGGAGTGACCTAAGGATATCTTCTCAGTCTTCCAGTGTAATCTCATGACTGAGCCTCCTTCTCCATTTCCACCTGGTATTTACCTGCTATCTCTGGATACATTATCTCAATCATGTCATCTGATCACAGACCTCAATATGCAAATTAGCTAGGCAGTGCAGGTGACATGGTGCTTCTCAGGACAGGGATAGTTATCCAGAACACCCTTAAGGTAAGGGTTAAATGACAGACACAGCTGAAGGCGACCATAGGCTACATTTTATGTGACTTATACCTTAAGCAGGTCATCTGAGCCTGTGAAGAAGCTTGATAGTGTTAATTCAGCTCCCCTTGGCAGTCACATGACCCTTATCTTGCACATTGTAGCAGTGCTTGTAGTATGGGTGCCAGACCTTCATCTGTGGTCGCTCCACTCACATTATCTACCCCTCTACTAACATGTACAGAACCAGATCTAGATATCATGCTAGTAATAGGGAGAAATGTGATCTGTGCTTGGGGGGGGAAAAAAAGGTCCAACTTTTTTTTTCTTGTTTAGCCTCCTACCTCTAATGAAAGCATCCCTGAAGAGGCTCAACCCAAGGTGCAGCCCAACGTCATCCCTCTCTACTGCACTAACAAGGTACACATTCTTCTTTTGTCAGTTAAGACTTCAGAGCGTGTGTTCAAAATTAATTTAGCCTATAACAAATCTGCTCTATAGTATTGTCACTCCATACAATTGTCTCTTCCAGAAAGAGGAGGATGCTGGTAAAATCGGAGAGATTAAGTACCATGGTATCAGTGGCGGCTTCCCCCTGCAGTATTATCCCTACTATGGCAAACTGCTGCACCCTCAGTACTTGCAGCCACTGGTGGCACTGCAGTTCACCAACCTGACCCTGAACACTGAATTGCGCATCGAGTGCAAAGTGTTTGGAGACAACATTGACTACAGTGAAAAGGACCGCTACCAGGGACGCTTTGACATCAAGCTCCAGGTTAACAGTTTATGACCGTCATCAGGACCATAGCACTTTTCCCTGACTGCCCCACCATTCCTCCCTCTACCCCCATCCCCCCTAACCCCCCCCGTCCTTAACTAAATACCAATCTGATATAGGAGATGATAGGTGAGGAGTTAGGCTGTAGCGGTTAAGTCAATCACAACTAGTCTTAAATGAATAAATGAGAAAAAAAACCTGATAGGGGACAGATGTTTAATCTGTCTGCTTTCATCACTAGCTTCTACACTACTGTCTAGCGCTAGAATGTAATTTAGAGGAAAAGTAGCAATAGGCCTAATAAAGAAATATTTATTCTGCTGTAAATGAGACTTTTCCACAAGCCATGGGACATTGTTCATTGATGACTGTAAAGTTAAATTCCATCTCTGATGCGTAGCGAGCCGTGTTCGTCCCCTCTGCATATCGCTGCCTCGTGTGGTTCCAGTAGATATTTTTGGAGTGTGCAGTAGTTGCAAAATCTGGTCCTTCCAAAACCACGCTGTTCTCATTTTCTTCTGCGAGCAAGCTTTAGCAGTTCGAGGCGTGTGTGTCAGACTGGAGCACACACTCCCACTTACTTAATGAATGAAATGGTTTGACATGGTACACTCTTCTGATCTATGTAAAGTAAAGGCTGCACTCCAGGGAACTTTATTTGTCTTTTACATCTGATCACAGGAGATTTTTTTTAAACTTTTTTTTTTCTCTTTTTGTGCTTTGTTAAATCACTTAAATGTGTGGAGGGGTTTTATTACTTGGTTTCATGCCTTTTACTTTTTGATTTTGCCTTGAATGTAGTAGATATGTGTCCAGCCTGTTAGACACTGTAAGTGCTAACTGGAGTTTTTAAGAAGGATTTCTGTTTGTTTTTTTGCTGGATTCATCACAGCATTGTGGTGTGGCTCTCTGAATGTTTTAGCCATTAAACATGGTGTAAGAATTTTATATTTATGCGGTTGTACATTTTGTTTCTTTGCAGAATATTGTAATGTATAAATGCAATACCAAAGTGAAGAGTTGAAGAGAGTGTTTATCAGAAGCAATGCAGTACTAATTTTTAGGATCTCATCATGTTAAGTGCTAAAGTCAATGTCTCGCCTTGCAACCTTTTTCAATAGTTATTCTTGATTTGTATCATGGCCATGAATGTAGTTAGAATGATCAGGTAACACGCAGTTTAATTCCACACTGACCTGATGTTCATGCATTTCAAAAAAAGATTGAGTTCTTATAAAGCTGTGGCTTTAGATGACTAATGATGTTGGCTTTAATATAACATAGTGTCTCATGTTGATGTGGAACGCTCAACTTGAACTTTAACATCAGTCAACTTTCCATCAGTTCATCCACCTTTGTCATTTAATCAAAGATAGAAACAAATAAAATCATAATTGACCTTTCTCTTGTGTTTTCTTTGTTATATTAAGACATTTTCACAAATCTACACTCCTGATAGCAACATCAGATCATAAAGTGTATGTCCAAGTCTTTTCCCAACATACACTGGGTGGAAGACCAGAAGTAGACCAGACATTTACTGTCTACATTTTGTTTGGGAAGTAGTGGCCTAAAAGTTAGAGAAATGAGCTTGTGACCAGAAAGTAATCGGCTCAATCCCCCGGAGTGGCTGGATAAATCTGGGTGGGCAAAGTTAAAGGGCAGCACTTCCCTCCCTCTCTCGTTACCACCACTGAGGTGCCCTTGGGCCCTGTAATCAGGGTGAAAAAGTGAGTGTGTAAATATATAGCACCCTCCAAAATTCCTACAGAGGAACAAAGTTGTGTCCCTGACATGTACACTTACTTTCTACTAACAATGCCACAGAATGGGAAATCTATAAATCTCAATTTATCGCTAAACTGAGGTCTGTCTATTACACAGGAATGAGTGCATGAGTGATTGAGGGACAATGTTTCTGAACACTTCTACCCAGCCTGAAAGTACTCCTTTCATTCTGGCAGCTCCAGCAGTAACTACAGTTGTTGTGGCTGACTCAATATGCAACTTGTGCTGATCATTAATCCTTTCTTGGGTCAAATGACAATCATTTTACACTCTGGAGACTTATAGCTTTTGTAGTCAGATCTAAGGTGGCCAGAAATCATAGACCCAAGACCCAGATGGGGTCAGGTCAGAGAGAAAGAGACAAAGATTCACAGCAATAACAATAGCAAAAGTTACAACTGTAGTGGTATAAAGGACTACTTATAATGATGATGATGACAACAGCTGTTGGGTTGTTTGGCTGAATGATGAATAATAATAATATTAATAATGATAATATTAGCAGTGGAGGTCAAGCAGGACCACGGCAGCAGGCACAACCAGGATCCATGACAACCTGCAAGAGGAGAAAGCACAAAAGCTATGGGGAAGAAGTGAAGTTAGTAACATGCATTATTGGGACATGAATGCATACAGATAGAAAGGGAGAGGGAGAGAGGAGCTCAGTGCATCATGCGAAGTCCCCTTTCAGTCTAGGCCTATAGCAGCCTAACTATAAGTTTTATCAAAAAGGGACGTCTTAAACCCACTCTTACATGTAGAGAGGGTGTCTGCCTCCTGAGCTGAAACTGGGAGTTGGTTCCACAGGAGAGGAGCTTGTATCTTGTGTCTGTTTGCTGTTCTAGTGACTTAGTGGTCAGGGTCATTGGAGCCTATATCAGCATGCAGGTCCGTCATTAAACATGCTACAAGTTGAAATATTGTATAGCCACTGAGACACATCAGATACTAAATATATAACATAAACACTCAACTGAATTTACTGGTAAGCTGTTTGAACCTAAAGCTTGAAGTAGGCCTGCAGTTGAAATCTGCTGTGAATCTATTTTGTATTTCAGGCAGAAATGTGTTTTAACGTATTTATCCTTGGTGCCCCCCTACACCAGGTTGGCGATCACTGATCTGGATCATCTGCTTTTGATGGAAAGGTGCAGCCATTATAACCATGAAAACATAGCATTCTGAATTTGAATATTTCACTCAGTGTAGAGCTATGATGAAGGGTTAGAACATAAGGTACGCTATATGGGGATTAGGTGTGCAAGATTATATAAAAAAATAGATTGCAATATTTTATGTGATATTGTATGGGTTCTGAAAAACTGTTAAATTTTGTTGTAAAGGGCTTTGATGTTGGATATTACAAGGACTGTGATAAATACAAATGTAGATTTCACATTCTGGTTGCATTAAAAAGTCGACTTTTTTAAATTTTATGCATATTGTCGTTGTCAGGAGGAAACCTGATATGAAATACTTCCTTACCATACTCCAAAACCCTTTCAGGAAATGAAAAACACCCTGTGTTTTAAAAAAACAACAACACTGTGTCGTCAAAGTTGGTATTATTGGTTTTATTACTTAAAATGACTAAATATTTGTAAAACCAACAGACAGATATCAGCATTGATTTATGGAAAAAAATAGACAAAATAAGGAGATACAAGGTTTCCGCCCAACAGTGATAAAATGGTAGTATGTTCTTCATTTTCCTGAAATCAGATTTTTTTTAAAACCACAATATATATTGCCTTGCTTACAGTATCACAATTTATCACAATATATTAAATCGTAACTCCTATATCACAATACGTATCATATCTCCAGATTCTTGTCAATATACAGCCCTACTGGACATTGTTATTGACAATGTGAAAGCAATAGTTTCTGTAACTTTAAAGCTACTTAATGAGGGGGTTATTTATAGATACAACTCCACAGTTTCAAAGAAGCAATGAGCTGGGAAGAATTTATGGCACTGGGAGGAGCTGTTGGGAATGTCCGAGATCAAGAGGTTCAAGAGTAAAACTCTGGTCAACACGGTCCTGTATCTGTGTCAACTATACACAGTATTTTCTCTCATGCAGCAGCAATAATCCAAATAAATATGCATATACTATTTCCAAACTTTGTCCTTCTTTTCTCTGTCTGTGTGACAGACTCTAACTCCTAAACATCTTCTTGTTTGAAAGGAATGAATGAACTGTTGTTGGCTCAGGAGGAGGAGCAGAGTGACTGGACGATTTTTGTTACCATTCAGTCATTGAGGCCTCTGTGTGCAGGCAGGAGGAGGGTGCTGGATCAGTTGCAGACACATGGCTCTGTAATTACAGGAGGTAGGCACTGTGTACTAGCTAACAGAGGGATGTTGTTTCAGGCACCACCACAGAGCAGGTATTAAGTCACTAGGAACCACCAGGGCCAACACAGCCAACCAATCAGCAGCTGCTTAATAAAATAGATTCTTTCTATGACCTTAATTCAAGATGTGGGATCTGTCTTTCATTTTAAGTTTGTTTGTTAGCAGGAAATCTCAAAACAAAATCTTTTTAGCTTTTTTTAGCTTTCTACACTCCTTGGTCTTTATCAGAAGATAGAGTTTGAATGAATGAGAATTAACTTTCATACTCAGGTTAGACCATCACTTAAGAAACAAGTGATCAGATTAAATGAGTTTCAGGACTTTTTTTAAAGGATTTGTGAGGTGGGACATTTTTGATGAACTGTTATAGACAAAACAGATAAATAATGGAAAACAAAAGAGAAAAGAAAGTTAAGTTCTCCCTTTCCATAGCAAGTGAATACATTCTGAGTTAGGCATCAATATTAAAGACTGTTTATCACTGTTTAAGGTGAGAAGATGGTTTTTGCAGCAGCTGTACTGTACGGAACTTGCTGTAGTAGACTTGTAGCCGTTATGTAATTACTGATAATAGGTTTTATGATAACTACACAGAATGCAGAATTACAATATTTTCAGAACAGTGTCTTATTATGGTTTAGAACCAAGTTAACTAGCTGATGCATACAAGGAAATCAACCACTTGTCAGTTTTGTATTGTACGGCTGAGTCAACCAGAAAATGACACAAATCTGGACACCTGATATGACCATGCCTTTTTTACCTAATTTGCACTGATGTCACAGCAGCCCCCTTACCACCAAAAAACATGTCAAATTCAGTTATTTATATAATACAAAATCAATTCAATGTCAATTCAATTCAATTTTATTTATATAGCGCCAATTCATAATTATCGTTATCTCAGGACACTTTTCAAATAGAGCAGGTCTAGACCGAACTCTTTATAACATTATTTACAGAGACCCAACAGTACCACCATGAGCAAGCACTTGGCGACAAGGGCAAGGAAAAACTGCCTGTTAAAAGGCAGAAACCTAGGACAAATCCTCCGGCTCTAGGTGGGTTGTCGTCCGTCTCGACCAGTTGGAGTGAGAGACAGAGAGAGAGAGAGAGAGAGAGAGAGAGAGAGACAGAGAGACAGAGAGAGAGAGACAGACAGAGACGGAGAGAAAGACAGACAGACAGACAGACAGACAGGTGCACAGCAACAACAGTATTGGCAATGGCAATCTAGCAGGACCATGGCAGGAGGCTCCACCAGGATCGATGAGAACCTGCAAGACGAGAAAGCACAAGAACTCCGGGGAAGAAGTGAAGTTAGTAACATGCATTAATGGGACATGAATGAGTGCAGAAAGAGAGAGGAAGAGAGGAGCTCAGCGCACCATGGGAATCACATGACATATTTGCCACAAATCACATTTGTTGTACAGCAGGCTCAAATGTACAGATCTCCCCATCACATGCTGCTATCAGGTAAAAGACAAAGGCAGCATAAAAATATGTTTATAAGACTAAATACAATACAGGATAAGACCAGCATCACACATTGCAAAACAATATAACTCAAACCTTATACTGTGATATTCTGTCCACATCCGTGGAACAGGTTGCTAAATCTGTATTTGACTCCAAATAATTTAAAATGAATCTGGCCACATGTAACAACAGTTGTTTTGAGACTGAGGCATATATGTATGGTCACATTGTAAGGGTAAAAGGCTTACAATGCCTATCAAAGTTCACAATATCAATGACAGGATGAGAAAATTGATGGGTAAATAAAGTATATGTCTGGTTTAAGGGGCAGCTGTAAAGATGAAGACAGTGTGGACAGAGACAAGCACACAAGGCTTCAGATAACAGTAATGGAGCACTGAGATAGCATCACACTGTCAGGACACAGTTTCTCCAGTTAACATGAAGCCACCTCTGACCCCCTGGGAACCTGCTGGCTCCGTCTGTTGTTATGGATGTTCATCCTATCCTACAGAACACTGTGCTGTGTGATTGATTGATTGACTTCAGAGCTGTTTAGGTCAAACAGCAGCGGATTCGGTTTAAAGTCATAGCACATGTGGACTGTCACACTGAAAATTGGAAAAACATTGTTTCACATTCTATCATCACATTATTCTCCAGTTGACGGTACTATGTTTGAGTGTCTTGTATTATTATCATGAACACAAACAGTGTAGTTTGACTCAATCCCACATACACCGTCCTGCTTCCCCTTGTTTTTGAGTAGGG